CCTTCGCTACGAGCTAGCCCATCCCTGTGCACTAGCCCTTCGCTACGAGCTAGCCCATCCCTGTGCACTAGCCCTTCGCTACGAGCTAGCCCATCCCTGTGCACTAGCCCTTCGCTACGAGCTAGCCCATCCCTGTGCACTAGCCCTTCGCTACGAGCTAGGCCATCCCTGTGCACTAGCCCGTCGCTACGAGCTAGCTCATCCCTGTGCACTAGCCCTTCGCTACGAGCTAGCTCATCCCTGTGCACTAGCCCTTCGCTACGAGCTAGCCCATCCCTGTGCACTAGCCCTTCGCTACGAGCTAGCGCATCGCTACATCACTCCAGCCACTTCAGCAGGCCTGACATTGCCTGCTGACTAGTCTGTTTATGACTCTACATCATGAATATCTTGCAGTTGGCATTCTAAGTCCTTTCACATTTTCAAAAATAATCAAGTTAGACTGATTATTTTTAAGTGGGAATAGTGTTTTTTGTATCTGCCACAGTGAAGTATATGTGCTGTGTGTTAGGGCCACCGCTGTGTGATTTCCATCTCCGCAGCACGTCACTGTGACGTGTCTGCACTCTCCTTACTCTGAGAATACTGTTTGGTGTCTGACTGTCTGCGTGGTTGCCATAGTGATCCACAGTCGTAGATGAGCGTAGATGTGTGTGCTGACTTTGGCTGCATTCCCCCCGCCAGTCTACCCCTGTCCGCTGTTCAGCGTGCGATTCCGGAAGCCTCTCTTTGGTGAGACGGGCCACACCATCATGAACTTGCTGGCGGTGAGACCTCGCCCCTTTCGCCTGCTCGCTTGCTCCTCATCCGCCTTCCTCCTCCTCCTTCCTTCCCTCTCCTCTTCCTTTATTCTCCCTCCTCTCTTCCTTCTTCTCCATCTGATCCCCTCTTCCCTCCCACCTCCTCAGTGTGCTCTCGCCTCTCCATCCCGCAGATGGTACTGTCGTGTGCTCTCGCTTCTCCTCAAGCACGTTCCGGCGAGCTGCTCTCCCACTCGCCCAAGGTGCATGGTGTGCTGTGACGTGTCGGTAACGGAACCATGCTTCTTCTCCCCATGTCTGCCCCCCAATCCCAGGATTTCCGTAACTACCAGTACACCTTACCCGTGGTGACGGGGCTGGTGGTGGACTTGGAAGTGCGGAGAACCTGCATCAAGATCCCCAGCAATCGCTACAATGAGGTGGGCATCGCTGGGCCTGCAGCGTGCCTGGGGGGGTCCTCTGATTGCCGCTATCGACCCCCCGCCCCTTTCGTGCACACACTCCTACTCACTAGTGCGTGTTTCAGTGAGTCTGTCTGAATCGGCCTTCTTATGAAGACAGCACGCTACTCTGGAAATCGCTGCCCAGCTGTCTGACTGCATTGTTGTTATTTCAGGAATCTCTCTATTTTTTTTGTCTTGTTGGTTAACAAGGAGTTATTTGGTATTTGTTATTTGCCCTTGTTAACTGTTTTGCATGGATGTTGTTCTTCATAGACGTGGATGTACAGGTTTAACATGGTAATATACTCTACTCCTGTGTGTGCATATGTGTGTCTGCGTGTCCATCTGTGTCTGTGTGTGCGTGTGCATCTGTGTGTGTGTGTCTATGTACATGCCTGCGCACAGTTGATGAAAGCCATGAACAAGTCCAACGAGCACGTACTGGCCATCGGCGCCTACTTCAACGAGCGAGCGGACTCCCACCTCGTCTGCGTGCAGAATGACGACGGCAACTACCAGACACAGGCGATCAGCATTCACAACCAGCCCCGCAAAGGTGCGTTGGGGGGTGGGGCTGAGGGCCTGGGAGGGGACCGGGCCTGTGAGCTTCTCGGCTCCACGGCTCTTAGCCCTGGACGCTAAAGCAGCTGTTAGCGCAGCTTTGATGGTATGTTGGTGTGAGGTGTCCTGGGTGGTGTTGAGTCACTCACTGAGCAACGTCTTATGCTTTTATACAGTGACTGGCGCCTGTTTCTTCGTGTTCAGCGGAGCTCTCAAAGTCTCTTCAGGGTACCTGGCCAAATCCAGCATCGTGGAAGGTACGCCTGTCATCGCTGTTTCCCACGAGTGGGATCACTGATTTGTGCTTTTGTGTGGAGTTACGGCGTCATTATGTTACACGTAGTAAGGTGATTTTTCGTGCGTGGTGTGCTGTAGCGGCTCTTCTTCAGCACAAATTCCTGGTGCTCTTTCTGGTGCCAAGTAACCCTGGGGTTTTTCCCAGACGGCGTGATGGTGCAGATCACCGCGGAGACGATGGAGGCGCTACGCCAGGCCTTGCGGGAGATGAAGGACTTCACCATCACCTGCGGGAAGGCCGACCAGCAGGAAAGCCAGGAGCACGTCTACATCCAGTGGTTAGAGGACGACCGCAACTTCAACAAAGGGTAAGCGGGCCAGACCAAGCCCACGCGGGGGCTGCATGCTCTACCGCAGGACCTGCAGCTTTAAGGGAGGGGGCACGTGTGGGTGCAAGCGGCCTGCTGCCCCATTCCAGCCACACAGAACTGTACAGGCATCCCTAAGCATTTTGCTTTGATAACCATGCATGTCCATGCTGTCGTATATAGTTTTTATATGTAAATCTTATTTGACTATATACCCCTGGGGAATTTATTCTGAATGGTCTGTCTGCATTTACATTTACGTCATTTGGCAGACATCCTCAGCCAGAGCGACTTGCATAAGTGCTTAGAAATCTCATCAGTGAACCTGGCTATGAATACTGTCACTCTAAAATTCTGTTTCATTTTTTTCTGATAATAAGAGTATAATCCTGGAAGTGCTAATCCAAGTACTTCCGAAAGGGATAGGTTTTTAGTCATCATTTCAAGGCACCCAGTGACTCAGCTCTTCAGACATCTAGGGGAAGATCATTCCACCACTTAGGTGCCAAAACAGAGACGGGTCTAGATGCATGTCTTCCTTGGCTCTTGAGAGATGGTGGGACTGGTTGAGCAGTGCTGGAGGATTGCAGAGAGCGTGGTGTAGTGTGGGGTGAGAACTTCTTAGGGCAGCTACAGGAAGTCAGTGGACGGAGTGTATCAATGGTCTGGTGTTGGAGAACTTGGGATGGTTGAAAACAAGTCCGGCAGCTGCATTCTGGACCAGTTGCAGAGGAAGAGTGGCACTCAGAGACAAACCTGCTAGGAGTGAGTTACAGTGGTCTAGTCTCAAGATGACAAGGAATTACCTGAGTGGCCTGTGTGGAAAGAAATGGACAAAGACTTCTGATGCTGAGGAGAATTCGACATAAGCGGGAAGGATTAGCAATGCGAGAGGTAAAGGACAGGTGATTGTCTGTGGATACTCCAAAGTTATGAGCAGTGATCGAAGGACGGATCAGAGAGTTGTCCAGGGAGATCGTAAGATCATGGTGTGGGATGGATCAGCAGGGATGAATAGCAGCCTGTCTCTGCCTGCCTGCCTCTGCCTGCCTGCCTCTGCCTGCCTGTCTCTGCCTGCCTGTCTCTGCCTGCCTGCCCCTGCCTGTCTCTGCCTGCGTGCCCGCCTGTCTGTGTCCGTCCGTAACAAACTGCTTTGCCTTGGCCATTCTGACCAGCCAGAGATCATTCACCTCTGTTAACCTGGAAACGTGTCCTACACCCAGGGTCATCAGCCCCATTGACGGGAGGTCCATGGAGTCCATCACCAGCGTCAAGATCTTCCATGGTTCAGAGTACAAGGCCAATGGGAAGGTCATCCGCTGGACTGAGGTACAGGCACCGCTGCTCTCTGGGCCATGTGGTGCTGTGATGAGAAGCATTTTGCTTGCCTCATGTGAACTTCAGCTGGTTTGTGTTCAGAATGGTTCCCTGTGTCCAAAACTCACGGACCTGTGTCTCGCAGGTGTTCTTCCTACAGAGTGATGACCAGTCCAGCGGGCTCAGTGACCCAGCGGACCACAGCCGGCTGACGGAGAACATGGCACGGGCCTTCTGTGTGGCCCTCTGTCCCCACCTCAAATTGCTGAAGGAGGATGGCCTGGCCAAGCTGGGCCTGCGTGTCACTCTGGACTCCGACCAGGTGGGGGTACTGCCTGTCGCACTGTCTGATACAAATAACAGAAGATGAAATAAAAGCTGAAAAGGTCTATGTGCTGAGGAAGGGTCAGGGTGATGCAGGTAAAAAGCAAGTACTTACACTGTCCTGGGGGGGGTGCTGTTTATGCCAAGTCTTAATTGATTAGGCTTCATTGCTGCTGATTAAATTCTGCCCGTGACTTAGTGACATTCTCTGTATATGTATTTATTTAGAAATGCATTCGCAAGAAAGCATTAAAAATGTCTTTTTGAGTCTAAATATAGCTACATGGTACTCAGCGCCATCATCATTTATTTTGTTCAGCAGATTACTTGATGGCCTTGAATTATTAACTGTATGGATGATTTATTGTAACTGAACTGGATAGAATTTTTCACCATTTATTTGAGAGCCACAAATAAATCAAATCCATGTAATGTAAGACATCTGACATTCCGCACAAACTTATTGGAACTTTCCTGCTCAGGGAAAGGCAGCTTGTAACTCTGCGGTGTCACATGACCTGAGTGGATGAGGGTTTTGTTTGATCAGGGTGGGTGTCACATGACGTGGGCTGACATCTTCCCTGTCCCACACAGGTGGGATACCTGGCAGGCAGCAACGGCCAGCCACTGCTGTCCCAGTACATGAACGACCTGGACAGCGCACTAGTGCCCGTCATCCACAGTGGGGCGTGTCAGATCAGCGAGGGTCCTGTCGTCATCGAACTTATCTTCTACATCCTGGAGAACATCTCCTAAAGGGATGAGCCCCCCTTGCCCACCTGCCCGTGTCCCTAGCCGCCTTCCTCATCCCCCTCGCTGCCTACTGTACCTGCACCCTGTCCTCCACTGCATCGTGAGCCTCTTCCCTTTCAGAAGGCAGCACCCTTGACTCTCCTGCTGGGCCTCAGGTCACCATCCTACCCGCATCGGGCTTCCACAACCCCACTGCTGGCTAAAGTTGGCACATTGCACCCTGGGTAATCACACCTAGGCTGTAGCGGCCATGTGCTCACTGCCTGTCGGACTCGTGGGGTGGGGTGGGGGGGGGAGCTGCCTTGCTTGTGCTGCTGGGGAATTCTTTCAGTTTGCAGAAATACTGCAAGGGGGGCCGGGTGGGGGTGGCGGTCTGTTTGGTGTGATGTTTTATTTGCGTTGCGGTGCTCAGTGCCTGGGCTGCGATTTCCTCATGGAGAACTATCAGCTTTATTTCATAATCACAGTGTGTTTTAATCAGCTCTGCAGCTGTGGATGGATGTCAGCCTCTGCTCACCTAAGGGTGGCGTTTTGGGGCACTGGAAGCCCCCCCTCTCTGCTGGGGCATCTCGCAGTCGCTTCATGGTGGGACATGGGAACGGGAACTGGCTCTTAAAGTTTACGGCACACTAACTGTGAACCTTAAGAGAAACGCACGTAGTTCCGAAGATGCAGTGGACTTTTAGAAGGACTGTCGAAGGAATTAACGTTTCAAAGGGAAAAACGGAGCCGATTATGCGGCTTTGATGCATCCGGACCATCCTGGAGGAGGGCGAGGCCCACCCTTTCTTCTATGCTCATCTCATGACCGGTGCACTTTAACAGGTGACTCTTGCACCACCTGCTGGCGGTTTTTAGCAGCACTCACAGAGCAGTGTTGTGGCTCGCCTGCCACAAAAGGTGACGTTCGGAGCACAAGAAAGATGTCAGTGTTAAGTATTTTTGGGTGTAAGGTACCGGGTTACACAGGTTTAATGTCTTGGGTGTGTAATGGTCAGGTGTAGATTAGCTTGGGCCTGGAAAATGCTGTGTCTGCATTTAGCATCTGTGTGACTTTCATTTCCATGAAAAGGTTTAGCCGGTGTCAGACCTTCATCTTCGTCTTAGCGGAGTGACCTTAGATGAGGGGGGCGTGGGAGCCTCCCTTCCGTTCTGCCCCTGCTTTTTGTTGCTTTAGATATTACGTGGATAACAAGCCATCTTTTCTGGTTGAGGTTGCGGCTTTATAAAGCAAGATTCAGGTTAGGTGTTAATTTTTGACGTCTGAGGACTGGCCCGTGGGCCTGAGCTCGCTTTCCCACTGGACAATCAGGACCTGTCGGCATGTGTTTGCCGCTCCAGCCCTGACTCACGTTGCTCCAGGTGTAAGCGGAGCACTGCTGTAGAGCGGGGAAGATCCTCTGCTCTTTGAGGAGCAGATTTGCCTCCCAGCCTGGGTGTGCTGTGGGATATTGTGGTTAAACGTTGATCTGCATGGTGACTGGGCCAGATGCCAGAAGACCATCTTTGGGCTGTTTACAGTCAGTTCATAGAGATGCATGGATTATGAGTGAATGTGGGCAAGTCAGCCGCAGTGAACTTGGGACATGCAGCCACTGGCTACCGTTCAGGCCGAAATCTCCTTTACATACTACTACACGTTCAGACAAACTGGACTAGTTTTAAGCTACAAGCAGTATCTGGATTTCAGCTGTTTTCCATGAAGACTTACTCTTGAGGTTATGGGAGTGGTGAATCACTGCTGAATTCAAGAAATTGAGACATGAAATCAGAAACGAAACCTGAAATGAATCAGTTCATGTTTAAACATGCCGGGGCCTTTCTGGCTGAGTTTATTTGGTCTGCTTTTAGGTGGAAAGGTGGCTGCTGGAGCAGGCTGATCTGCCATAAGATGCCAGTCAGCGGGATGTGAGGGAATTAAGGGAAATGTTTACAGCATGGCTTAAGCAGCAGCCTTGACTGGGCCTCTGAGGGGTGAGTCTGTGTGAGTCAGAGTGGGTGACACACTTCCAGCCCCGTCCACCGCAGCAATTAACATTTCAGCAGAATAAGCGAGAGCGATCCCCCAGGGATGCTCACTGTAGGTGGCTGTTTTGCCTGAATGTTTTTTTTTAATTAGCTCCCAGAATCCATTGCTGCTGCATGCATACAGGAACAAAGACGATTTCCGTGATCAGTGATGCTCCCCTTCCCCAAACATGGAACAAGTGAAATTCCTCTGTACAAAAATTATATATAATGTTATATATACATAACCTGTGTAAATGAAACCAGCTGGAAAAAAGTACAGCTTCCCAGACAATAACACCAATCATCAGCTTAATGGGAAGAAAAAAATAAGCATATTTAAAAGCCAAAAACTGTACATTTCTCTCCAATGTACACTACAATGTCAATAAGAGCAGTCTATTGAAAACTGTAGTATCTGTATAATAAAACTTATAGAAAACTGAAGAGCTTTACATTTTCTCTCCTCTGAGGTATGTTTGCTTATTCTGTGCGTGCAAACCTTTAATTAAAAAGAGAGACCTGCAAAAAGAGAAACTAACTTTTATTGCATTAAGTTTAAATCCAAGCCAGTACACAAGTTATACTAAAGTGTCAAGTCCTCTGAAGAGTAGTGGTACCACAGAGCCAGTACCGTTGCTCGCTGGAGCTGATCCATGAGTGAGCTGTGGGCTGTGGATGCCGATGCAGGGGCACAGCGGCCCCATGAGTCTCGGCTACCAGACGGAGGCAAAGAGCGCTCAGGCGACATGCTGAAAGGCGAACTGAGGGAGACGTACAGCGAAGTGAGGCACGGGAACAACACGGCACTGACGTATTCCAGTATCTTTACAGGTCAGCGATCAAGCATGATGATGGGCTCGCTGCCTCGTCAGGCTGCCGTGACAGTGACTTTCTATGCCATGCTGTGTGGCCTCTTTGCCTCAGTGTGTCATTTTACGACATGTAAACTTTAAGGTGCTTTTTATTTAAATAAAAACAAAAAGTACAAGAACTCCCCGAGAAAGCTAGCGAGTGCTAAATGAAGAATTGTGGTTATAAAAAGGCAAACTAAAGTCATGTGAAATTTCCTCCTGGAATGAAAACCAGCTTGCCTGACTGAATGCCACGATGCAGAAGGTACGTCTCCCCACGCTTTGCCTCTGGGGAAATGTTACAATCCCGAATGCTTTTTCCTGATAATATACGACTCAGATTTTTGGCACGCTGTTCCTGGAATTTAAAATGGAACACTAAAGTGCACAGGTCTCCATTTCACCAGAACACGTGTGAACCATCCGAAAGTGCTAAACAGTGGGCTCCCGGGACCGATTGTTGGCATCTGTGTCTAGGTGGCGAGGTGCCTACAAATAGATGAGACTGTGATCAAACAGACCACTGCAGAAAGGCTGATGTTTGCTTAGAGGAGCCAATCACACTGCATCGTTAACCTGCTCAACTGGTGGCTGCAGTGTACGTTATGGATGTGTGTGTGTGCGTGCGCTATTTTACTATGCATAGTAGAGCGACAGTGATAACTTTGGTATTAGTGCCTAGGCATTTATCATGCTGACTTCCAACTTACTATCACCCTACTTCAGAAACAAAAAGTGAGGTCAGAAAGTCACGTGTGTCCCCCATTCAGCCTGAACCTAAAGCCAGGCTGAAGGCATCTGCTGATTATCCAAAGTGCTGTTACACATCCAGTCAGACCCGCCTGAGGAACCGGGGGCCGTGTTCCTCTTTACAGGAGGACCAGTGCACAGTGTGGGAAATGGCTCATCCAATGGCCCTCTGGTGCTGAGGCACTTGTTCACCTGGAAGAGGAATGTTTTATTAGGAAGAATAATGCTTTGTGCTTCAGTTTGTCACTGTGGAATCCAAGGAGATGGACAGCGCCTACCTTTCCTGACTGGCCATGTTTTTATACAACGACCTAGAACAGAGAGGGGAACTGTTAGACCAGAGGATGTAGCACAGAGAGGTTCTCCAGAGCTGCACTCACTCCCTGGTCTTTGCAGCTGTATATACTGCAGCTAGAGCTGGTACCTGAGGCTGATCCAAGATCAGCCAGTGCTCCGTAACAGTCTGCACATCCTGGCCACTGAGAGGCTCCCGTAGACGAACTCTGACCTCCAGCAGGCCTCCTGTGGGCTTGCGGCCCTCCATCACCTGGGCGACACGGGTCACAGTGTTTGAGGAGAGACTATTCCAGCCTTAACCTGCTTCAGGAACCACGCAGTACCCAGATGCCAAAGCTTTTCTCTGTATCAAAATTGACCGGGCAGTTGCAGCTGTAAATGTGCAAAAACTTGAAGCCTCCCTCCCCATGAACTCGCCTCCACGATCTCCCGCACCTCCCTGTCCCTGAACTCGCCTCCACGATCTCCCGCACCTCCCTGTCCCTGAACTCACCTCCACGATCTCCCGCACCTCACTCTCCATTTCCAGTTTCTCAAGCTTCAGAAGTGCTGTGCCCACGAGCTTGTCGCTCCTCAGGAATCCCCTGCGAGGTGAGAGCAGTTAGAGCCTCGTAGCCCAAACACACGCAGGCAGCTCCCGACATGAAGCTCCATCTGGATGTCACAGGGATCCAGTCTGACATCTTCTTTTACTTTTAAATTGTCCTTTATTTTTTTCCATTATATCAGGTCGATACATTCGTTCAGTAGGCGGCACTGTAGCCTCACACTTCGAGGGTTAGGGGTTCGAGTCCCGCCCCCGGTTCAGTGTGCAGGTGGAATTTGTGTGCAGTTAGGCAAATTATCATCTGTAACACACGGTGAGCACATGCTCTGTAGTAGTAGTAGTAGTACCTTATTGATCCTGAAGGAAATTCTAAAAGAGGCACAGCAGCATATACAAAAAGAGACTTCAAACAGGCCGGTAAATCCTACAAAGGGTGTCATGCCCTGTGTTGCCAGAGGGGGGAGTCTGGCTCACTGTGAGCTCATACTGGATCAACTGCATGGAGGATAGAGCTACCCCCTCCTCCTCTTTGGTTTGGCTGGGTATTTTTATTACAGTAAATCAGGTTAGGTGACTTGCTCAAAGGCACATGGCAGAACTCTACCTTCAACCAGCACCACTAACCTTCGAATCCATGTCCTACCTGCTGGCTTACTGACCATCAGACTGCTGTCCTAGATTGTCAGAAACTAGAGAGCCATGTATAATTACGGGGTCTAGGTCTGGTTCTGCCAGCAGGTTGGTGGTCTGGACTCACCCCTTATGCAGCACCTCCAGTTTGAGACCTTTGGACTGGATGACCCTCCGGAAGCCTCTGTGGTTGCGGTTGATGTTGAGAGTAAAGCTCTGGTTATACTCTGCATGAACCGGAAGAGCAGAAGGTGAGATACCCCTGCAGTTCGCACGCCTGATGTTCCCAGCCAAGCTTCCCCGTGGCCATGTTTCTGTGACCTTTGCCCCTTTGTTATTCATATATTTAAAAACACTGAGAAATGTCAGAGCAGGACATTTACTCCGTGTCTGCAGGATGCACAGCAAAGCCTGTGCTACGAGTTACCTGGACAGTTAGTGTTTTTAACCACAGCAGTTTTGTGTTTCTGAGGTTGCTCCTGTAAGAAGAAGAAAAATGTAAAAACAAGGTATTTCTCTGCAGGATCACCATGCTACCTGACCCTATAACAGCACACTCTGCACATGACAGAATGATGATTAAGTGTACAAACCGTGGGTCGCTATCCCAGCCCACCTCTTCACTGAGGCTACTACAGGTCAGTTGCCCTACAGGTGACCTGGCAGCGAGCAGAGCCTATGCCCTGCTTCATGACGAGCGGTGCTCACCGTGCTGGGATACGGGAACTCAAACTTCACAAAGGCGTCCAGGTCATTGGGGGCGATGCCTGCAGATCAGGACCAGAGGGAGTGAGTGGAAACACAGAGTGACGATTTGCATCTGCTCTGGTCACCAGAGGCAGCTGCTCTGCTCCCACAGTCAGTGCTCGCTTGAGTCTCCCTGGATGCCTGAGACCATCCTCACAGGTGTAGAGGTGGGGGCTCTTACCGTGAGGAGCTGGCACGTTCATTCCTTTCACAATCACAACCACCATCTCTGTGCTGCTGAGCTCGGGAAATATCCTGTGGAGAGAGAGAGTGCCTTTGGAGTCTCCTCGGATGTTCTTCTTGAGGAGGAAATGGATTTCTGAACGGTTTCGATTACAGGGGGTTAAACATGACCCCATGAGTCTTAAAAAGGAAGATTAAAGGAAAAGAGGATGAAAGGAGAGCAAAGGTCGGAGGGCCTGCAGCATGGCCAGCGACCCCCACCTCACAGTCTTATAAGTCCTGTCCTCAAAATGGTGTTTTGGGGGCTCCAGTCCCTGCACCTGCGCCAGCTTCAGGATCTCCAGATTTTTCTTACAGCCTTCGGCCATCTTCTCAAACCTGAGAAGGAAACAGGAAACCAACATGTAACCTCTGCAGCCCTAATCCTGCAGTGAGGACGCTGGAGACGACATGCATGCTCTGCTGCCCAAGGTGAGTCTGCGGCATTCCGACTGCATGTATCCAAGGCGAAACTCCTAGCTTCACAGCAGAAGTGTCTCCATCTGCTGTGAGCACGCCAGGAGTTTTGTGAGCTCTCGTCATCGGCAAGATCCTACTGTATACGTACTTTGTGGTCTCCGTGATGTTTCCCATGTGGCTGAACTGTTTTGAGTACGTCAGGCATTTCTAAAAAGGAGAACAGTTAGTCAGGAAGATGGTATGATGAAATGTTAGGGTGTAACTGTTCTGAAACCCTGATACAAATGTTCACAATCTCGTATCGCGGTTCACCCCAACAGGTGCAGCCCGTTGAGCCCTCATTACATTACTAATGTTACAAAAGTTACTTTTCATTTCACAATTAAAACTATAACACATGTAAATCACAAAATGATTTGGTATACAATTGTCCTAAATCACGTTTGCATATTTAATAATACATTTCAAAACAAATTCTGCTTTCCCTGCTGTACCGAAATTGCAGTGAACGATGAACCCAAAACCGTGGTTTGTACCAAACTGTGAAACTTGTGCACCGTTACACCCCTACTGAGCAGACAGTCTGAGGCACTGAACCGCTTCACGTTAAAGTTTAGTAACCAAGGTCCTCCATTATGAAAAATGTTCGTACATTCTAATGGAAGAGGAAACGTTTCTTCTTCTCTCAGGAGCAACATTTCTACCAAACGTGGGCGCTTGTCAGGCACTGCAGAGGTACGGCACCCCACCTCATACTGCTGGTTCAGCAGCTTGAACAGCTGGGTGTACACCTCCTCTGTCTTCTCTGAGACCTGAACTTCACTGTGGTGCACCAGAATGAAGTCCTCATCCTCGTCTCCTGGGGGTGATGGCACCTGCAGAAGATGTGGGTAATTAGTAGAAATTCTACCATCAGAGTCCCACCCTAGTACAGTGGATGGTGCTACCTTGGCAAGGTCAACCGCCTTCCCACTCCTGGCTGCCTCGATGATGGGGTCGAAGCTCTTAGCGACACGCAGGAAGTTTTTAGCCTGCTCCATGTCTTTCTTCTGCTTGGCCTGCAGAGCTGCCTTCATGTACTGCTTCTTACGGCTCTCCAGGAGGTCCAGCTGCTGATCAGCTGTAGGGATCCAAGGAGACTTACAAACCAGAAACCATTCATCCAGTTAACGTGGAAAATCTCTTAAACCAGCATGTAAGGCTGCTACAGTTCGATACCTTTGGATGAGGCTCCTTCAGCAGGAGCCTGACCCTCCACAGAAGGCGACCGCATGGCACTGGGGACCTGCACAGATCGTGGCACATCAAGCGTGGACTTCTGGGGCTTCCCAGGTATGGGCAGCTCGCTCTGGGATGGTTTAACAAAAACTTAAGAGCAACACCAGATATCACGCTTGAGTTGCCTTGACCCCGGAGCAGCAAACTACCTCTTCCTCATCCTCATCTTCCGCTGACTCCTTCCCGTCATCTGCAGCAAGCTTGTTGGCCGCCTCCAGCACCGTTACCAGGCTTTGCTCGGTTCCTCCCCCTGCCTTCTCCAACCCAGGGATTGGTGGAAAGCCTGGAATCCAAAAACAAGTGCCCAATCACAGGCAAGAATAGTTCACCCAAAAACAGCACAGCCCTTCACTGCACCGGTAATGGCAGAAAGCAAAATCTGCTGTGCCGAGACGCACCTGGCGGAACAGGAAGCTCCTCAAAGTTGACGGCTTTGCCTGCTTTGTGGGCACGTATGGCACTCTGGTATTGCTGCGGGGGGAGAGAGGTCAAGCGGGGGAACTCCGGCTGCCCTGTGTGTGGCTTTGACATGATCAGCCAGGGCTAACCTTGGCTATGCGCTCATGCATGCGGGCCTTGCGGGAATCCCCGCTCTCCTTGGCTTGGGTATAGGCTTCCTGGTACTTGGCCATCCTTTGCTCCAGAGCCTCCAGGGTGTCCTTGGGCTGGGCCGGGGCAGCTGGAAGACAAGAAGAACATGCCCATCGTGTGCTCCTTGAAGGGCGGGTGCTGGGCTGGCGTCTGGGCCAGTCGACGTGCGTGGCTGACCTGGTGCGGCGGTGGCTGGTGGCGAGACCCGGGCTTCCTGTGAGGCAGAAGCTGCTTTCCCGGGGCCCGAAGGAGACCTCACGCTGGGGGTGTCTGCAGCTTCTGAATAAGGGGACATGGGCATCGATCATTAGTCCTGTCAGCATCACATTCAAAGCATCAGTTTATATCTATAGATGGCTCATAGCTGAATTGCACTCAAGTGCAATTAAATATTAGAACTCGTGGCCATAAGTGGAAATTAGCGGGAGAACATTTTAAAAGGAATTTGAGGAAGCACTTCTTTACACAGCGTGTAGGTAGATTATGGAATAGTCTTCCTACTAGTGTAGCGCAAGCTAAAACCCTGGGTTCCTTTAAATCAGAGCTAGATAAGATTTTAACAACTCTGAACTATTAAGTTCTCCCCAAACGTGCTTGATGGGCCGAATGGCCTCCTCTCGTTTGTAAATTTTTTATGTTCTTATGTTCTAAGTTTTCCTCAAACAAAAACTTAACACAATAAATAATATAATTACCAACATGACTATCTGATGAGCAGGCAAACTTCAGGGTGTGTCAGTCAGCTTTAAATGTACAGCATTTAGGATATTTATGCTTTAAAACTTAATGTCAGCTCTGTGAAAATGCCAGGAGAATTGCAGTGTGACAGGTTATGTATATGAACTCGTATAACTGAGAGCTGATAAGCTACATTCAAATTTGGAAGTTCTGATAAGGCAATGAGAAAGCATTTCCGAAAAACACACAAGCACAGGGCCTGGTGTCCTTCACCCATATGACAGGACACGGAAAATACAGTGAGACCAGGCATCTGTAACTACCACTTACCTCCAGGGATGGGGGGCATGTTGCTGAGGTCGACTGGCTGCCCGTTCTCCAACGCTTCCAACACAGTGTCAAATCTCTGGACAAAAAACACAACAAGATCCTTGTCTTAACTCCTACATGCACAGCATGCCTGAGATAGTTTGGGAAATCTCTGGTAGGAGAGGATGCAGCTGGGTCCAGGCAACAAGCAGAGGACTGGCTTTGTGTCTGTGCCCCCCCCCCCTCCCTTGACCTGATCTGAGGACAATTCCAAACATCTCAGCAGTCTTTCCTCTGATAGCAGTAATGCAGTGGTACTGGATTCAGCATGCTCTCCCCATGTTTCTGTACTCCACAGACATGGCGCGAGCACAGAGAGAGAAAGGCCGAGATCATCTCCTGTCCTGGTTTATGTGGACCTGTCAGCTTAGCCTGCTTATTTGGGTCACAGAAACCAGCATGAGAGGCGAGACCAGGGCTGCACAAGGTGTCAAAAACAGACAGTAGTATCCGAAATGTTGCAGAACTCGACCAAATGGCATTTACTGTCTGATCAACTGGCATCATTGTCTTGAGAGGTAAGATCATCAGCCACCTTCTGAAGGTGTGAAGCATCGGCTGATGACATCGATCTCTCCTGCAAATTGAGTGATATTGTTCAAGTCAGAAAATGACTTCAGCCATTAATCAGCTGAGTGCCGGGACAGACTCTTCAGGGGTTTGATTGCCTGTACCATGATTAGCACACTGGAGGAGGCCTCACTGTACCTTCCCCGTCTTCAGGAGGGCTCTGGCCCGCTCTGTGTCCCCGCTCTGTTTGGCTTTCAAAGCTGCCAGCTTGTATTCCCTCTGCCGTTCCAGCAGCATGGCCTTTGTGGCTTCCAGTTCCCCGCCTGTGGATGCAGAGAACAGGACTGCAATGCCCTGTATTCACAAACCAAACATCTCTCTGCAGACCCCTTAAGCGACTACTAACCTGCCTGGGCACAAGCAGGCTCCCTGGCCACAACACCCAGCTCCTGCTGGCTTTCTAGACTGGGCCCAGTTGCCATGGAAACAAGCAGTGTCTGCTCCATGGGGGCAGTCGCTTCTGGTGGCTCTGGAGGTGCCCTCGTAGGGGCAGCACCACAGGCCCCGCTGACCACCGGAGGCGGTATTTCTGATTCGTTGACCTTGCTGCCCTTCTTCACGGCTGTGAGCATCGTCTCCAGGGACTATGAGCCAGTGAGGGAAGTGACGTCAGTCACACCCAAATGCAAGAACTCTCACCCCCATTTGTTGGGGCACACCTACCTTGAGACCTCTCTCAAACCGTCGAGCCTTAGAAGCCTCCCCAGATGCACTGGCATTGGCCACTGCAGCCTGGTACATTTGTATTCTCTCAGCCAAGGTGTGCTCCAAACTTCCAGGGGCCGCAGAGTCCTTAACCTTCCAGGGAGAGGAGGAAACACTTTAACTGCCAGTTACAGCCGAGAGTCGACACAAGGTCCACCACGAGTATGCAATTCGCTCTCCAGCTCAAGGTGGGCTCCACGGGACTGAGGCAAAATTAAGGCAGCTGTGCCGAAGCAGCTGGTTTCAAAACTAGATGTGAAAAATCTCACCTTCTCACTCTTTCCTGAAATGAGAAAACGCTCCTTTCCATACATGCCGTAAGACTAAGAAATAAAAATATCTACACTCAGGTCTATGTGGGGCTAAAATGGGAGAAGTGCCTCTGGGAAGGGCCGCAAAAGTAAAAGGGAGAGACAAGGACCTCATTCATGCGCCTCCCACTCACAGCCCAGGAAGAGGGGGGAAAAAAAACACTGCCCACACCTTCAGTCCAAAGGACTTCACTTGGTAACAAATGAATACAGAATCAGCAAAAGCAACAGTTTCTATCCCTTCAGCCACGATGCTGCCAAACCCCTAATGCTCCATCGGACCCTGCCCCATTCAGCACCTGCTGGGCAGATTCCTGTGTCAGTGCTGGAGTTGTGTGATCTTCATCCTCAGCTTCCTCATCACCCACAACCTCCTGCAGCTCAGCCTGGGAGGGCGGTAGACAAACACCATGAGGTTCTGGATGGGCGGTTCTGCTGAAGGCATTTCAGAACGGAAACCTACCAGTAGATCTTCATCGCCCTCCAGATCCTCGTCTTCCTCATCGTCCACATCTTTCATGCAGTCCTCTGCCATTTTTTCAATGTGTTCTATGGGTAAAGGAGCTGCAGCATCCAGACTTTTATAGTCATATTTTGTTTTTTTAGGATACCTGCACAAGCTTTCACTTTCTGTACACACTGACTTATACAATAATTCAAACTGAAAATCTTTAGTATAACTGTCCGAATAATAACAACACAGGTAAAGCCAAAAGGTGCCAAATGCACCATTCCGGCCAGCAGACTCCTCTCTCACCTTTGGCTTTGGGTTTAGCTGCCCCTGCTGCAGCACTCTTTCTCCCCACTAAAGCAGCAAACTCTGCTTCCAGCTCTGTGTCGTCCACATTGCCCTGCATGTCCATCATCTCCTCTGGGTCCATGAAAAGCCCCATCTGCCAAGGCGGTTTCCAAAACATCATGGGACATTAATAACATGCAGGCCACATGACTGACTGAACTCTGCTTGTAACGGATATAACGAAAGACCTGTCCATGGAGAATGCGTTATAGCTGGTCTGAGAAAGGAGGACAGTCTCCTAAAGGACTCGCCCTGGTTCTGGTAAAAGATCAGCCAGTTCGATATGACACTCCTGTCTTTCATTATAAATGGCATTTGCATGTTTTGTGAAGCTCATTAATAAGGACTTCCGGTTAGAGCTCCGGCAACAATGCCCACCTGTTTGGCCGCTGCGGCACCTCGGCCTTTGGCCCCCGGAGCTCTCGCTTTCTTCCGGCTCAGCATGACGCCCGGCTGCCGGCCACTCACCAACGGAGAACACGGTACCTGGGACGTGCGGAAGGTCGGATTACGTTAAGTCTAGGGCAGCTATATCAGCGGGGACAGAATCATGGAGCTGGTTCCGCACGGCCCCTCGCTTCCCCGAGAGGTCCGCAGCTGTGCCATCAGACAGTTGCCTGTATTGTTAGGTACTGCCCCGGTCTATTTAACCGGCAGCTGTAACTACGAACCCAACTTTAAACGACGAGCTCACGTCGCCAGATCAGTGTCAGACTGGTCGGCATGATTACGGCACTTTGCCCAAACCTGCGAACCACAAACCAAACCCGTGTTACTACAGCTGTCGGCACAGCGTTTATCCCGTAAAGCATTTTTGAGGAGCCGGTCAAAGTTATATAGGTGAGTGGCGGTACCTGTGAGCCGGTCCGGTACACGCAGGCTGAATCCACCAGGCGAAGACCGACACCTAGAGCCACCGGGCCGCTACCTCCACGCAGCTCTAGCGGAGCTCGAGAACAGCGCTACGCGGAAGCACGTGACACGCCCTCGAGAGAGCGCCGCCTCAAGGAGCACTAAGTCACGTGGCTTGCGATTCTTATTATTATAATAGTATTAACGAAAATAGGCAAAAAGGGTGTCATCCTGCTGAAATGACACGCTCACATAGCCTGTCATTCCTGTTTCCTGAATAAACAACTGCATCAGAGCAGTTCTATGGTAATAACGAAATGCACGTCATTTTAAATAAATAAAATTATATAAGGAAACATTACATTATGTGTCAGTTATTCCCTAATCTGGCCAGGTATATTTTAAGGAAGATGTGTACAAATAATAATTATTTGTACACCGAAAAATGAACTACACAACCGAGCAAAACATGCGTGAATATTCGAGTATGACAACTGCTTAATAACTAAACTATTGTACAGTATTGTACTTTCGTCCTACACATCAAAGAATTGTGGGGAAGACCGTGCTCTTTTTGCTATAGTATTCCTTTTACACCTTATAAACAACCTCCAGACCAATTCGGAAACGCGTCACACTACGGAAAGCGTTTGGGAGGCGGGTTTAAAAGGATTACCCAATCATATCGAAGAATTATACACCGCTGCTAAGCAACCTCACGAGACGGTTTTTTAAAATTAACCAATCAGGACGTGAAACCGGCAGTTTAAAAATGCCCATGAGTATCCGTTACGCAGCTTCTTCTTAATCTTGTGGTGGCGAGTGGCGACGCTGGTGAAGGATTTTCGGCAAGCTTTTGAACAAGTCATCTCGTATTGGGGGAAAAAAAAGTGTGATTTGGAATTCCTTCTTGGGAGTCGTTACCCCTGCCGCAAATAACCTTTTTTTGTGTGGGAAAGCTCTTGCAGGGTGTTCTGTTGAATATTTCATCCACGTAAGGTATGTCATGTCTTTGTTAGTGTACTTATCTATTACTATCAATTCTCCACTTTTATTATTATTTTTTTTATAGACTTTCTTACCATGGCGGCGGTTCTGTTCTTTCCGGTTCGTTTTTAGGGTTGCCAACTCGTACATCTGGCGTGACACACGCTTCGCTTTCAAACTCGCCGTCAAAGAAATCTTACACTCTTTTGTGTGTTACAATATAATATGCCTGCCCTCTTCCGTGAGCGCAAGCTGACCGCGAAGGGCAGCCTTCTTTAGCAGCGCCAAGGGTACCGGGGTTGTGTTTATATTGTAAACTTAACTTGCCTACATCAAAAGCAGCGGGGTAGTTTGCAGCGTGATGATAAAACCGTTACATTCATGTAAATGCGTGTGCAGACTTGTCTGGAATTGTCACGCCAGCTGCCCGGAGCTGGCAGCCTCGTTTTCTTTAATGGCTATGCCCTCGTCACGGTGCACCGTGTGACCCTGTCCCCCTCAGCCCTCTGCCCCGGCCGGCTAAATGGCTCAGTTCGTGTTTGAGAACGACATGCACAGCCTATTGAAACTGGACATGCCGATCACGAACGCGCCCATGGCCCGCTGGCAGCGGAAGTCTGCATCGGCGAACACCAGCGCCCTGTCACCGAGCAAGTCTATGAACAGGTCCCTGGGCAAATCAAAGACTCCCAATAAGACGCCAGGTAATGCTATCGCTATGAAATGATGGATGCTAGCATACCGGGTGTCTGCCCACTGGTCTTCGTTGGGATCGTATGGAAGATTGCCTCAAGTGCTTTCAGGGGTGTGGGAGTCTTAAGGGTTGTGTGTCTTACATAGCTGGAATTTTCTCTAATCCTCCTGCAGGCAAGAACGGCAAACTGCAGTGCACACCCTCTAAAGTGGGTGGTGACCGCTATATTCCCAGCAGATCCAACAAGCAGATGGATGTCGCCAGTTTCTTGCTCTCGAAGGACAACGAGCCTGTAGATCCCAACGCGTCCACAGTGAGTGTGTTGGGCTTTGATTTGCGGTGTGTTTGTGTGACTCATTGCCAGAGCAGTATCTTCCCTTGCAGGAGATGCAGAAGGCTTGGTCTGTGAACCTCAATGGTTATGATGTTGAGGAGGCCAAAATCCTGCATTTGGGAGGAAAGCCCTTAAATGCCCCAGAAGGTAGTGTTAAACCTGGACTTTCATTTCTTTTAATGGAAATCCAAAACTAATGTCACTTCTCCCCCTCCCATACAACTAACCCTGCATCTAGGTTATCAGAACAACCTGAGAGTCCTCTACAGCCAGGTTACCACCCCAGTGTCTATGAAAAAGAGCAGATACATTTCAACTGTACCTGACCGAATCCTTGACGCTCCTGATCTGAGGAATGACTTCTGTGAGTTCTGGTCCATGCTGTAGCTTAAGTGGCTGTCACGCATTAGCCGATTCATCAAGTATTCAGTGCAGATGAAGACATGGTGATCTTGTGTTAATTCAGACCTGAACTTGCTGGACTGGAGCAGCCAGAACCTCCTGGCTGTGGCCCTGCACAACAGTGTGTACCTGTGGGATGCCAGTCAAGGGGACATCACTCTGCTTATGAAGATGGAGCAGGAGCAGGATTACATTTGCTCAGTCAGCTGGGTCAAAGAAGGAAATTACTTGGCTATAGGCACAAGTGATGGCAAGGTTCAGGTGGGTGTGGTGTTAAGTGGCTGCCCATATTTCCTGGAGGATAAGCACTGATGAGCTCTGGTCCACAGCTCTGGGATGTGGAGAAGCAGAAGCGTCTGCGCAGTATGGCCAGCCACACGGCACGTGTGTGTTCCCTCAGCTGGAATAACCACATCCTGTCCAGGTACCTGGGTTTGAGCAGTGCCCACTGATTGGCTGTGCAAATGAGTGCAGTATCATGCTGCCTCAGAGGGGATGAATTTGATAATGAGAATTTGTTTTCTAGTTGGTTAAAATTGAACTTGATTCTCTACAAATGGATTGAAACCAGAACAGTTAGCTATACAATCTTTGTACATGTAGTCCTAGCTTGATTTGATGTGCAATTTTTATCTTGTTAGTGGCTCCCGGTCTGGCCACATCCACCACCATGATGTCAGGGTGCCTGACCACCACATCTTCACACTGACTGGGCATTCCCAGGAGGTCTGTGGTCTGAAGTGGTCACCAGATGGCAAGTACCTGGCGAGTGGTGGGAACGACAACTTGGTGTATGTGTGGCCAGGATTGACGGAAGGTGGGAATCAAGGAGCCATCAACTGCTTCACCAGCCACCAGGGTGCTGTTAAGGTAAACTTCCCCCCCGAAGATGTTCTGGAGCCTTTTGGAGTTCATTTTGCATAAACTTTCATCCATTTTAGGCCTTAGCCTGGTGTCCATGGCAACCCAACATCCTTGCTTCTGGAGGGGGCACTAGTGACCGGCATATCCGCATTTGGAACACTCACACTGGGACTTGCACTAATTCCTTGGACACACAGTCTCAGGTAATACATTGGCAGTTATGAGATACAGGTGACTTGGTGCAAGTACATTTGTAGGAGACTTGTCTTGTGCTCCCCTAGATTTCATCTCTGGTGTTTGCACCAAACTACAAGGAGCTAGTGTCTGGTCATGGCTTTGCCTGTGATGGCCTGGTCATCTGGAAATATCCATCCATGACTAAAGTGGCAGAGTTTCTAGGTATGTTTGCAACCTTTTGGACAGTCAAACATCAGATAAATATGGTGCCAACTTGTACAATATGGGCCAGTACTGTTGCAGCTAAAGCCTGATTTTAACATGTATTCTAGGACATGAAGGAAGAGTTCTGAACCTGACCCTGAGTCCTGACTGCTCCACCGTTGCTTCAGTAGCTGCTGATGAAACTGTTCGCTTGTGGAAGTGCTTTGAACTTGACCCCTTAACAAAGAAGGCAAAAGAGAAGATGGCAAAGTCGACCAATAGCATCATTCACCAGGGGATTAGATAACTAAATGGCTGTTCTCTGCATAGTATGACTGACTGGCTGTTCTTTGTATATTGTAACTTTCAGAAATTTTTAATTTTGAGTAAATAAAGATTTGACTTCCAGTGCCATTTGATTAACCCCTTAACATTAAGAGCTAGTACTGATGTCAGCTCACTTTTTAGTGTAGGTTTATTGCCTTTTCCCAGCCGACTGTAAAATCTCAAGTAACTGACTAAAATGAAAGTTGGTGTGATTTACTTGAACTGGGTTAATGGTATGGAGCGGTGTACAGCTCAGTGAGTTGATTTCTTCTTGTGGCCCCAGAGAATATTTCCGTTTCACTATAGTCCTTGCTCCAGTAGACCCCACTCTAATTCTCACTTGCTTTGGATGAATGTTAAATTTTGAGGTGGCCCTGTTCTGCCCATTTTTTTCCACTATGCTAAATTGTTTCAGTATTACCCACTATGTTCCTGTCCAATAGCTACAGTGTTAAGCTCTCTACTGCTCATTCTATTACCTGAAACTATACCATCACCTACCTCTACTCTGCTGGTCCCCTGGTGAGAGTACTCCTTCCTGTCTATCACCCCATGCTCACTCTGGGGGCTTTGGGCAGGGATGCTGAAAGTGATGACAGAACAGGTTTGTATTTAACCCATGTGTGAGCAACAGACAGCTATTTAGCGCTTGGGGAGAGTGGTTTCTGGGTGGTGGTATCTTAGTGTATGTCAGGGTTGGAGACTCAATCACAAGCATGCTTCACTAACTATTAGGGTGAAACCGAAGTGTTTTGAGACAGTGTAATGGTAGTCTGTGAACACAGGCCCTATGCATTCTGCCTTGCAGTCTGCAGGTAGGTGGCCAATAAGTATTACATCCTGAGGTAATCTCACCATGTGGTAGTAAGGGCTGGCATTCCAAGAAATTTCAGGCAAGTGGGAGAAGACTTTAGGAGTGACATTGTGGTGCAGTGATAAGCAGTGTTGTCTCACCTCTGGGACTTGGCTTCATGTTCCATGGCTCCGTGTGTGTGTGTGTGAGTTTGTATCTTCCTGTGTCATTGTGGGGTTTCCTCTGGGTAAAAACATAATTTGACCAAATGGAACTAAAATTTGATACTTTAAAATTCTTTATGCCACCTACCCAACTCTCTGGTGGTGAAAGCAAGCTGACTGTAAAGTGCAGCCCCCAAGGAGCTGGTGGTTAGGGGGCTCATTTGGGGGCTGGCAGCTGTACCCAGGTGAGGCATGAACTAGCAACCTGCTGATTACAGGCACAGAGACAGCCATGCACCACCCCCCCCCAAATCTCAAACTTAAATTTATGTCACAAGAATATCAGAACTATCATAAAAGCTACCTGACTTTGTAAATGATATTTCACAACTGATTTTCAGGGTCTGTATGTGTGTGGCATACATGTGTGGTGGTGTAGTGGTAAGTGCTGTTGCCTTACACCTCTGGGACCAAGGCTCAAGTCCCTGCCAGGGTGGTGTGTGTTGGTGTTTCCATGTTCTCCCTGTCTCATGGGGTTTCCTCTGGGCAAAAGAAGTATAGAGTTTTAGTAAATGAAACTAAAAAGAATAATTGACACCTTACTGACAACCAGGGGGAAACTGCCTTTTAAAACACTTGTCCCCCAACTTGGGCTCAGCTGGTTGGCTGTGGATGGCAGCCACCCCTAGCAGCACCCAGGAAGTTGGGGATTAGGGGCTGGCAGATGTACCCAGGTGAGGCTTGAACCAGCAACCTGCTGATTACAGGCACAGAGACTTAGCCACGCACCCCCCCAATGGCAAGCTTAAATTTATGTCACAAGAATATCAGAACTATCATAAAAGCTACCTGACTTTTTAAATGATATTTCATGGCTGATTTTCAGGGGGGGTCTGGATGGGTGTGGCTTGGTGGTGTAGTGGTTAGTGCTGTTGCTTAACACCTCTGGGACCAGGGTTCACATGTCTGCCATGGTGTTGTGTGTGAACATTCTCTATTCTGGCGAGCAGACAAACCTAAAACTAGCTGCATCGATGCATTTTCCAGGGAGCTACACCACCTTTGCACATAGAGTAACATTAGCCGTCGTCGTGACTAAGCCCAGGAGGGCCCTGTCGCTTCTCTTTCATAAATCATTAGGGTCACGGCCTGTTTACACAAAGCACCCAACAATGTCACACTGTGGGCGGTTAGTCAATTTATAGTCATATTCATGACGAGGCTTAAGTTAGAGTAATTTACTTCATTTAAATTCACCTACAGTGAAGCACATGCCTTGTTTTATTTTAAAATTGGGTTTATTTCAAATTATTGCATTTAACTTATACAGTAGCAAAATGTCTCGACAGCACTTTCCCACTGGCTTTGATAAACTTTATTTACAATTATGTTCAAGTTTCAGTAGGAACTGTACAACTCATCTCCTCCCACAGCCATCATACTCGCCGAAAAGCAGGGGCAAAGGTCAAAGGTGGCAGGAGTGTCAAAATGGGAGCTAGAGGCCACTGTGAGCCCCAGGTGTAGGGACAGAAACCGATAATTGCTACAGAGGACTTCGGAGGTGGTCTCTTCATATGTCACGCTCCAACAGCGCCCCCATTGAACAGACAGGGGGAACCAATTTCTGAATCCAATCAGCTTTTTTTTTTTTTCCCCTCCTTTTTTTTTAAAGAAATTTCAGAACAAACATTTTTGAATCCGTATTGGTCAAGGTTCCTTTAAGACACTAGACTTCCTTCACTTTGCCGTTTTGGGTCGACCCATTTCCATGAGCCAGGGTGCCGTTCTCTAGGTGCTTGCTGTTGGCCGCCACAGGGCATTCGGCCTTGACGCCATTCTGGTGCGACACCGGCTTGGGCAGCCGCTTGCCCCTGACGTAGGCCTGGATCCAGAAGTTGGAGAAGAGCACGAAGAAGAAGGTACCATAGATCCAGATGAGGTGGATGAAGAGAGGGACTTGGTAGTCACACTTCTTCATGAAGTAGTACTGGGAGACGTGAACGGACACCAGTACAAATTGGATCTGAGGTGGAGAGAGAGGTATAAGTATCTCAAACATCAGAAGCAAAGCCAGCATGGAGAAGCCCTCAGGTCCGGGCCAAAGGCTGGCATCCTACAGCCAATGGAGCCTGAAATGTAGCATTCATTCTGTAAAATCTGTCAGTGTCAAGTGCAAGTTTATGGCTACATACCAGTTGAATTGCAGTCATGTACTTCTTCCACCAGAGGAATTTCTGGAAACGGGGACCGGCGGCAGAAAGACCATAGTAAAAGTACATGATGACATGGACCGCTGCGTTTACCATGGCGTGAAAGGAGCCCATTCCCCCTGCAGTAAGTATCAAAAACATGCAAATAGTATAGTTCTCACATTCATATGAGCAGCCCTGACTGTCACTGGCCTTCTGGGTGGACAGCAGGAAAAGGAAGGTGACCAGGGACCTACAGGCCCCCCAGGTCTGGGAGACAGAGGCCTGGACTTCAGCCAGCAGAACACTGTCAATCATTCCTGGAAGTGAATTTGGAATTTTTCTACCCATTATGAACTGCAGGATGAATAAAGACCAGGCCTCATGGGGGGGAGGGGGTGACCGAGCTGCAGACAAGGGGATGGTGTTAGTATCCCGTTGGTCAGCAGAGTCATTACAGGTGAGGGGGTGTGGGATTTAGGAAGTCCAAAGCTGCTCTGACTTTTCAACTCACTAAACAGGTTTAGCTGCATAACAACACCAACCCAAACAACACCGTTTCCAACGATACGGCATGGTGAGGTAGATTCCAACGCTGTTAACTTCCAATGCTGTGATGCCACAAGTTACTCAGTTGGAAAAGAGTTAAAATTTGGAACAGCAGTCGGCATCTACCCTTTGCTAATATAGTCTTTGCTTACCTGAGAAAGAGCCGCTTCATTACAACCCTGATTCTTAACATAATCAGAGTAATTAAAGGAACAGTCATGCAAACCGTGGTCATGCATGGGATACAGAAGCAAAAGCTGTACAGCTGTTTCAGACATGCGGTCTGCGTAACGAGACCAATGCTTTTAGCATGCGATTGACATTTCCATCCATCCATCCATTTTCTGCAACTGCTTATCCTATTCAGGGTTGTGGGGGGTCCAGAGCCTATGGGCACAAGGCAGGGAACAACCCAGGATGGGGCACCAACCCATCACAGGGCACAAGGCGGGGAACAACCCAGGATGGGGCACCAACCCATCACAGGGCACAAGGCAGGGAACAACCCAGGATGGGGCACCAACCCATCACAGGGCACAAGGCAGNGCAGGGAACAACCCAGGATGGGGCACCAACCCATCACAGGGCACAAGGCAGGGAACAACCCATCACAGGGCACACTCACGCACCATTCACACACACAGGCACACCTATGGGCAATTTCGTGACTCCAACTTCTCTCAGCATGTTTTTGAACTACGGGAGGAAATGGAGTACAGGGCAGAAATGCCACGGGGAGAACATGCACACGGAAGCCGGGCCCTGGGGGTGCGAGGTGGCTGCTTACCACTGCACCGCCCTGATTAACATTTATACAGTTATTTTCCTGGAGAATTCTGGGTTTTTTGGCAGTGCCTCTCTGGAGATCCAGCACTCTTTGGGCTCCAAGCCCATTCCCCAAGCACTCAGCTAACCAGAACTTCCCAACCATCCCGGTTAACAGCACTGAAACTTACCAGGTGCCAAGGTGACCCCCCACCACCAGGTCCAGGGCATAAAGGAATGATGGAAGATGTGCAGGAATGTGATCTGGCTGTGCTTCTTACGCAGTACAAAGAACACCTGAGAAAATGCAACCCAAATGGTCACCACAGGGGGGCAGCACACAGCAAGAACCATACACTAGATGTCAACATATAGCCTTTGAAGGACCTAAAAATTATGTTCTAAGATTAATACATACCGTGTCCATAAGTTCAATGAATTTTGAAAAATAAAATAACCAGGCCACTCGAACCATCTGCATGGGGAGGAAGCAAAACGTCCATTTTACAGTCCAACCCAAACGCTGCAGAAGGTGAATCAAAGTCAAAACGACAAACATGCCACTTACTCTGAGAGCTTCAGGACTGTCTGAGTAATCACAAATGTCACATCTCCAGGTGTAGGTGGTTGCCCATCCAGACATCATGAACTAGGAAGGGAGACATTAATGATGCGTATCTGCACTGCTGACTCACTCAATCCAAATGGCTGTGATGTACAAGATGTCGTCATGCTCAGACGTTTAATCACAGTGATGGAAATGCTTGTCTATTTTCACATGTAATCCACTGTCGACAGGCTGTGAAATCTGAAACTCAAATTTCGTCATGTCCTTCACACAAAAAAAAAAAAAAACTGGACCAGAGTTACACGGGCACTACCCCGGCCAGTAGGAGGCAGTGTTCATGCAGCAGTGTTTGTTAGGGTCTCACCTCATACACAATAAATGCGTTGAGAACCACCATGGAAAAGTTATAGATTATCATGGCCGACGTGAGCTGGAATGGCTTGCGGTTGGCCATCAGGCGAGGCCCAGCATACAGCACAAAGAACAGGTACCCCAAGAGGATGAGGGTCATCTGTACAGGACTCTGCATCAGGGGGTAGTCCTTCACCCGGCCATCTGGGAGCGGGCGAATCAAATAAAATCAGCGGTTCCTCCACAATCCACCACAGAGAAGTAGCAGCCAGTGACTAGAACAGAAGTCATACCAGTTCTCCGTAGAAGGTACTCGTAGAACTTCATAATGTTGGATCCCACTTCAAGTAGCATTTTGAAGGCAGTCTAGGACACACAGGACAGTCTGAAACCCTGAAACAAGGAGTGATGACAGGTCCTCACCAGAGGATGTAGTCAGAGAGCATTCAAGTCGCTTTACAAGGCAGGAGGCTTCCAGCAAGTCCACAAGCGAATGAAGAGTGTCAAAACAGGCTAAACAGGCGCCAGTTACAGTTACAGGTATCAGGTTCTGTACACAAAGCCAGTGCAGACCAAGCCCTTTCCTGGGTTTGCCAAAGAGCGAGCCCCTTGGACACTTCCTACAAATGGCAGAGGAATGGATCAAAGTCCTGTGCAGCACCAAAAACCGAAATGACCAAAGCCACAGGAAAGAGGACATCGCAGAAGCACAAGCAAACCTTGTCCTGCGAGAAGAGAAAGGATCACACTGGCAGAATGAGGATGAATATCTTAGCGACAGACCATCCAGTGAGTACAGTGGGCTAGGCGCGTCAGTCATCATGCAACTCTAATTAAGCTAATCTTACAACCATTATTTGATGATCACTCAAGACTGAATAGCAGAAGTCATAACCCAACCAGTTTAAATTTCAGATTGATACCTTATCAGAAGAGCGAGTTGGCTCCCAGAAGGCAGTTAGACATTTGTGTTAAAATGGTACATCAGCACAGCTGCTACCACAGCAAAACAAATACTATCCCCATGTAATGGGATCAGCCTAACCTACCCCAGAGGGAAGCAGGTATGCAGGCGTGTCTGATTCACCGTGATGGTTATAAAATGCAGCCAATCTCGGGGGCTGGGGCTCGTAGTGGGCAGAGCCTGGATTACGGGAAGCCCACTTAAGCGTCCCAAACTGCAGTCCCAGAGGCCTACTGGTAACAAGCTGGAATATTCCATGTAATCAACCAGTCCAGCCCAAAATGGCAGAGAGTGCTAAAAGACGTACCGCTGTGACTGAACAGGCCTGGCTGGTCTCCTCTCACCTACACCATAGTAACCTGGCAACTCCACAAGTCGACAGACGGGTTCACTGGCAAACATCACAAACTGCTGGAAAAAATGTCTCAACCGAGTCTCCGATTGTGGAAAAGCTGGCCCTGTTAACAAAGTAAAGTCACTTCCTAATTCTTTGCTAGGGCCAGATTTAAACACATAGAGAGTAAGGCGACACGGGGGTGGCCACAGGTCAGAGAGTCCCGGCAAAAACACAGTGGAGGAGCCGCCCAAGGTAAACGGGAGTAACGGCACACTAGGGAGGGCCGTCGCGGGGTGGGGAGACTCCATGTCAGAGGTAGGGCCCCCTGCTGGGCATCTAAAGTAGTGTGTTCTGCCTGCAGAAGCCATGTGTCACTGAGTGTGCAACAGAAGAGGATTGGGTGGGCACAGCAGACACCGACCCTGACGAGGCACCACACCCAAACCGAGCTCCAACACGTCCCACACTCATCCCAGCACCAGACACCATCTACCCCCTCCCCCATCTGAGAAATGAGCACGATACGTACTGCAACACGTGGAAAGCTGGTGCTGCCTGGCATGTTTCAAGCCCCCCCCCCAAAATATGTGGGCAGGTCCACAAGGCCTGCAATATATCAGCAGTTAATCCATGCAGATGGACTGGAGGAACAGGCCCCCGGACACTGGGCAGCTTTGTCTCGGGGGAATAGCAGGCCGCCTTGTACACCCTGATGCCCAGCGTAACAGGTCGGGGGGGGAGAATCAGGGGGAGTGGGGGGAGAATCGGGGAGGGGGTCATGGCCTTGCCCCTGCCCCAATCGATGGACCTGTAGGAGCGTTTCCAGGGATGGCATCTACAGAGAGGACATGGGACACACTGGAGCAGGTGATGCAGTTGCAAGGAGACAGGGCAGCATGTGAAGTTGAGGATCACAGCGCCACCTACAGGCCTGGAAGCAGAAGTCCCAAAGAGCCCTATCCCAGGAAACAGGTAGACTTGTTAACATTAAAAGGCACAACTGACCATTAATTTGGATGAGGTGATGCATTGTGGGGTTAAAGTACAGCTTACAGTGAAAAGCTGCACTAACTATGAACTGGGCAGGGAAAAAGCAGCGCGATTGTGCTGCCACGGTCGTAACGATACACAGCCGGCTTCGCCAGGAACACGCCGTCAGTCTGCAGGAATCCAAGGAGTGGCTGCAGATCAGCTGACCCTCACACGGCTCTCATTAGAGGCCTGAAAGTTCAGCACGGCCCACTGGGAGGACACGCTCTGCTCCCGCCCAAGTCACAGCCCAGATCCCCAGCGGCAGCCCACAGAGAGGCGCTAACCAGTATGGCGTAGGGTCACCGATATAAAAGCCACAGCACAGAGCAGACAGCTGTGCCACATGGGAAATGTGCAGCCCTGTAAATTCAGAAACCTTCCTGAAGTAGTGCACGGGATGTTTCCCTAGTAACACGCAAGAGTGACTCACTGATCCATCACGAGCCCACTGAGGCACCACCCTGAACAGCTCGTCGCCCAAGACGAGCCGAGCGGCCGCACTGAACGCCGGCTTTCAGTGACACAGCCAGTGAACCCAACCGACAAGTTTACGCTCTCCACAGCGGCGGAAAGAGGCTGTCAATGAATCACTAGTGACACACACACAATCAGAGTAACATATTCCAGAAACGGCTACCTAACTTAGAAACCAGCAGGAAGCTCGAAGCAGAAACTGCTTCAAGACACCCGAACCACAAAACCAGCTGCCAGTTCCAAGCTACTGGACAAACTGAAAGGAACGGGCTCCCTAAGGTCTAGGCGGTGATGCCAGTGAAGGCAGCTCTCCAGCCAGTCACACTCACCTCGGTATTCCCTTCTGCTTTAGAGCCCCAGTGCTGTGAGAGGCTGCTCTCCTGTCCTGCTGTCCACAGAGAGAAAGAGAGAGTGACTCTGACTGGTACTGTCGCCCTCTGAGCCTCCACCCTGCCTAACACAAAGTGGATGAATAACTAGTTCACACAGAGAGAGAAGAGAGAGGAGAGAGAGAGAGAAAGAAACGGAAGGGA